GGGGATGGGGGCGGGGTGGGGTGGAACCAGCTTTAGATTGTCACTGAGCAATAAAACACCCAGCAGCAACTAAAACACAGTTTAAAGCACAGTGAGCAAATAAGAACACTTTATAGCTAACATCCTTTTAAACTTCAAGGGGCGAGAAGAAAAACCTGAAGATATGTAATAACTGCAGACAAGAGACTACCACAGATCCCACAAATAACACCCCCACAAATCCTATCTAGAGCTCAACACTGAGGAAGTCATTCTCACTCAACAGTATTAGCAACTACTACTAAGTACAGCAAGTACGTAACTCACTGCTTAATTGCATTTTGGGGAGTCAGCTAACAGCTGTTAAAACAGAGTCCTGAAACCTCCAAAAGTACGTTCTGAAAGCAAAGATGCAAACATCTATATGAAAGGCTTGTTCTAACTTCCATGGCATAAAAATTGAGATTTCTTGAGCAAAATCTGCAAGCATGAAACTGTTCGTATTATATGAACTATAATGCATTGGCTGCAAATGCAAGTTAAATTGAGATTACACATGAGCACTGGCTTGTCAAAATCTGTTTTTCTTTGCTCTAGATTCTACAGAAATTGCCCTTCCCTCAATACTCAACATCTTTGGGCGGAGACCAGAAAGCTGATTTCAATGTTTCTCATGGATTCTTCAACAATCTACTGAATATGCTCAAGTTCTTGTTTTATTTCCACTACTATCTGGAAATCTCAGTAACTATTGCCATGTAACAAGTTTTATTCTAACCCCAGTTTACAGAAATACATAGCAATGGCAGACCTTATCCATGGTAATTCTGGACATTAGGCATGCTGAGCTGATGGGGGTAACGATGGGCAGAAGATCTATTTTCAGAACCCAGTTCTAGAGTGGTAAATCCCCTGTGTTGCTTTTGTTAAAACACGCATGAGTATCTGCTGGAGGTAATTTTGTGAAGAACTCTTAACAGTTCTGTGAAACAAAAGAGGAAGTGTAAAGGGCACAGACCTACCCTGAATTTCTCCTTGTGGATCTTTGTAGTACCACTTCTGCATGGCTTCATGGAACAACGGCATAGAGGAACCCTTTGCTCTGTGCTCTTGAATCTTTGCTGCTAGTCTTTCATCGTCAAGGGCACTGTCCTGCAGGTATGCCACCATCTTCTCTGCTTGCTGCAGGAGACATCAAAACCAGCAAGGAATACGAGAGTTAGATGTATGCTTACAGATTTGAAAATGAGCATGCCAAATACAACCCAGTGCTCAAAAGTGTACCAGGAATTAATTACAAGCAACTCAAGGACTGGTCTAACTGCACCACGAGCTCAGTCCACCGCCATGTCAGGATCCTGAATAAGCACAGCTGATCTGCTTGAGTAAAGCTTTAGAACACTTGCCAACAAGACCCCACACAGTATCATGGCGAAAAATAACAGGTATAGGAGCATGAGTGTGAAAAATACTCTGCATGCCAGCAGTCATTAAACTTTCATGCACAGAGTCTGCACTTCATTTAGGTATTTAGTGGGGGGGGGGGTGTTGAAACCCTATTTGACTCATTGTTTTATGGTTTCCAAGGCAAATGGTAAGGCTTCTTGACAGTGGTCATAAGCACTACGATCTCTAGCTCTTTAATACTGGGTATACTACCCTTACGCAGAAAAGAACTACTTTGGCATGAATTACTCTCCAAAAAAAATAATGGAATGAAGAAAAGTAGCTCTATACATCCTGAAGTGTAAAGTTTCAGCTGCATTTCTGGTTTTATGGGCTTCAAATATTTTTTGCACTCCAAGGTCCTCCAGTCTCATGACTGTCAACAACAAAGGAATTTGAGAAATTTTACCTGCTCTAGGTGTTTGAGGCCCTCTTCATCATCTGGGTCAGTGGGAATGTTGCCCATGCCTGGAGCAGCTGTGACAGGTGTCTGAACTGGCCGCAAAGCAGGATTTGAATTGGAAACAGGAGGAGAAAGATGAGCAGGAGAGGCTGTGTCTGCAGAAATCTGTGGCATAGGTTGAGCAACTGAAGCCAAATCTAAAGAAAAGTGTTAAAAGTCCATTATCTCTAATATAAACAAAAACTTACTGTAGAAAACATTCAACAAGTCAAAATTAGCACCAAAGCAAAATGATTTTCAGATCTTCCTGTACTGGTACTGATTAGAGCACAGGCACCCAACCTAACTTCAAGGAACAAACAGTTTAAGTCAAAATAGTGCAGAACTCCACACATTTCAGTTCCCTGGCCACATACCTTTGCCCAGACTGATCTGCTCTACAAGAGTAAGACACATCCACAACTAGCTCATGTTTCTCAAACTGTGTTGCAACTGCACACTGCAAGCACTTGAGATGGCATATCCAACAAATTATTTATTTCTAGCCCAGTTGGTGAATTCTGGCTGTTCATCTCCATATTCCAGTCCTTGCCTCTTAAGAGACCAAGTTAATCACAATGAGTAATGGAAACTTACTAAATTTACCTATCACATTTATTACCTTCCCCTCTGTTGGACATTTTGGCTGGCGGTGTATTCTCCATTCGATTCTCTTTATCGTCTGTTTTTTCTGTTCTTTCTGGCACAGACTCTTCCTTCCTTTCAAAAAGACTCGTCTGCAGCAGGTCTGGAGGCTGGGATTTCGGTGGGGTATCTGACCTAGCAGCTGGTGAAGATGCTTGGACTGCTTCTTCCACCGCTTCTGTAACATTGCATGGTTCTACGTAACTGAGTTAATGGAAATTCTACACTGCAGCATAGAACAGATGAGCAAGACATTCTCCTTACCTGCCACTACTCTATCTGTTTTCTCCCCCTCTTTCTTGGTGGTCTTCTCATGATCTTTGGCTTCTTCATTGTGGCTCCCTTCAGAGTCAGATCTTTCCTCCCCTTCCTCCACAGGTCGGAAGTCCATCTCCTGTTCCTCAGGGATTGGCTCCTTCTGCACCTTCTACAAAGTCAACATAACCATCCATAATCCACCCCCAACATAACAGGACATTTGCTCAAGGCAAACAAAGGGCCCAAGACAACTTTTCACCTTTAAAGAGAGAAACGCTCCAGAGGAGTCAAATGTTCCCATTTCTTCTTCTGCGTCTTCTAAGCACCACTCAGGGAGACTATCCCTGTCGTCATCCATGCTGCCGCTCCCACACCGCACTCGGCGATAGCCCCGTTCGTCGTCTCGTTCCCGGAAATCGAACTCAAACCTCCGCCGCCGCTCCATGTGCTCTCGCCAGCCTGCAGAACGAGGGCCGTCTAAGGTAGGGGGAAAGTCACTTTACAACACAGTCCCGGGGCTAGTGGCTTTCTTGGAGGGTGAAGGGGTCAGTGAAGAGATGACAAACAGTGACAAAGAAAGCCTCTACAGGGTACAATCCACCTATGGACAGGCATCTTAGAGGATAAGGGAAAGAAAAGGAGTATCTTACCATTAAGCAGGAGGCTGCCAAATATTGTTCACTGTATATCACCCCACACTAGAAATTGTATTATGAGCATTAAAAAAGCCACATGACGCTAAGAAAGCTGGGCTACAGAACCTAAAACATGCTGGAGCACCAAAACAGGAGAAGCAACACTAGATGCTGACCGAATTTACCAGCAATTGATTTAAACCATCTTTGGCATCTGTATAAGATTTTATATTTACTTTTAAGCAATCTGCAAAGTCACATCCTGAACATACCACTCAGGCTTTTCTCCTCTTACCCTTAGAGACTCTTCTGTGCATACACATGAAAAATGGACTGCCAACTGAATACCTCTGAAAATACTATTAAGTCTCTTGAAAGGTAAATTTTTAGCCATGGAATACCGTAACTTGGAAGGATAATAAGGAAAAAAATAAGAGGGAAAACTTCCCAAATTCAAGTTTTGTTTTACTTTTCTTCCTAATCTATTCAGAAGTCATCTTCATTCAGCCAACCTTAAAATCCTCTGACTGCAGTCATGCTATTTAAACTGTTAACAGCTTGCTGCTAAGGGAAACAAATTGGGAGATAGAAGACTGTAAACAGCTTTCCATCCAACAGAAGTTATCTTTACCAGAAAGGTGCAAAGCAAAAATGAAAGCACCTTAAATTTTCAGTGCTTTTAGTGACAGCTGTGTTTTTTTTTCCTGGAGGAAAATAAAAAATTCTTTTTTTAGTCTCAGAATTTGTGCAATCAATGCAGTCTCACTGCTTATCAAATGTCTACCAAAAACACCCATCACAGTAAAAGAAGGAGCTGTGTCCTCTGTTCCATTTGCTTCATATGAATGAGGAATGTTTCCACATCAACCCTAAGTATTTAATATTAACCATGCAAAAATCCACCTTTGTCTCACAAACACAGGAAACGTAAAATAAACTCCTTCTAGAAACGCTATGAACTTTAAGGTTCTATTTCATCAAGGAAACACAGAAGGTTAGACTTTAACACGGCCTTCACTATACCATATCTGCTTACCTGCAAATCATTCTACTGTGTAACTTAATCCATGCTTCTAGTTATGCCTTGGAAACTAGTAAGTAGCATTTTTGGTATGCAAAACTGTTAAATCAATGTTCTGAGGCAATCTTTTTAACATCATTAAGGAAAGCTATAAGGCACAGTCAGCTTGCTCTTCTCCCATCTTTTCTGCCTGCTTTAAAGCAGTCCTTAACATCTTAGGCCTGTTATGTCAACCTTTTATTCATCAATAACTTCTCAAAAAATATGTAAGCAAAGACAAAGGTTCACTGAAGATGCAGTAATGGTGTAAGTACTCCAGAGACCTCCAGAACACTGAAGAGCTGGACAGGATGCGGGGCTACCTTGCCTAGGCTGTGCTTTTGCCAAGAAAGGTTGGACCACATGATCCTTGAGGTCCCTTCCAACCTGGTAATCTATGAAGTAACAGCCACTTCCCACATCCTCTTCGGAAGAGGACGTCTGCAACACACCCCACGCACCTCTGCCCACAGCACCCCAGACTCCAACTTTGTGCAAACTCAGGAGGTGCAGATTTCTAAAGGCTTTCTTTTCAAGTCAGTCAGACATATGAACATCTCATTAAAATACTGCTAAATTTTAAAAGAACAAAAGCATCTCTGGGAGTAACCAGCATCTAAACAGGACACAGTCTACCTGAAAGAGGCCTGGCACTGAAAATCCACTGATATGTCAGCAGCAGCAGTGTTAACTTTACCGTTCCCTTTCTCATCAGAAATATCAATGCAACAAAACCAGGACTTCCTTTGGAATTGGAGGGTTCTTTCCAAGGTTTAAGTGTGAGAGGTTGCTGACAACTAGACTACATTTCTGATTAAAACCACAGGCAGGCATCTCCTCAGTACAGTCAGCAATGTCTGTCGGGTTTCTCAATACGTGGGGAAAAAAAAGGCTATGGGCTGAACCTGGAAATTAGTGTACAAACAAACTAACATATCTATTTGCTATCCTGGGGCTCACCAATAGCTGAGCATCTCTTCTTCAGCTCTCTTTTGTACAGAAGAGGAAAATTGGGTATTATGAAGCTCCCATACAGCTGTAAAAGAACCATCTTGAGATTATGCATAGAGAAAAGCCTTGATTAGTTATACATGGTTCACGTCCCTACTCCAGGAGCACAGGCTCTCCATAGTGAGAGAAACATGTTTTTTGATGGCAATTTTAAGCATTTTGTTAATTCCAGGTATCTTCAAAGTTCAGACTAAAAACCTAAAAAGACATTTTGCTTACTGTATGGTCTGCTTGCAGGGATTTAGTCACAAAACCTCCTTTTAAACTCAACATTTTCAGAGCTAGGTGGACAGTCAAAAAGAAGAGGTAAGTGGAGCAGACGCATGCCCTTGTTTCTCAATAACAACACAGGTTTACAAAAGCTCAGTTAGAATATAATGAGCAACTCAGGTGTGAAGTACAGGGTTGCCAATCTTTAAAGTAACACAAAAGTAAAGATGAATCTTAAATTCTTACCTAAAGTTTTTTAACCAAAACTGAAGACAAACATAGCTTTAAATTCTGCCCTGTAGTATCATTAGGCACCAGTTATATATATATTCGTCAAGATCCCAAGGTATAAGAAATAATGTTAAACTGACTTTAGCCCTCTCACCTATAATGTCATCATTAATTACAAGAAAGGACTATTGGCTGCTTCAGGAAATCCAAGTACACTTCAGTCTCAATTATTAATACTTACATATCTCCTAGAAGTTGTATTCTCTAATTCAGAAAAGAAATTTCCAATGTACTCTAAAGCAATATTAAATTCTAAGCAAATGACAAAGGAATAGTACTCATACTACTTTTTTGGCATATATTGTATATGCACCTAATGTTTATTTTGCTCAAGGTACTTTAACTACTTTAAGATATTCAAGAAGCACAAAGCACAATGCCCCAAAAACAAGTCTACTTGATTCACAGCAGTTGCCTCTGAAAGGGAGTTAACCAAGATGAATTTAATAAAAGCAGCAACCAAAAAATCTTTCTATGAGATTACAGACTTAAAAATAAAACCAAACCCAAACCAAAAACCCAAAGCATCTATACCTAATTCTACAGTTTTGATACAGAAAAGGTTTGTGCATGTATCTGGTAAAATGGACTTGCTCTGCAAATTTGAAGGGCAATCGCTGTATGAATGCAAGAACTGGAACAACAGAAAGAAGGGGCTTTTTAGGTAACCAGTCATTAAACCATTAAAAAAGACAGTTTAAAAAAAAAAATCTTAAAAAAAAAATATATCAAGGGAACTTTGAAGCAACAGTGAATTTAAAGCGACGGTCACATTCTTCTAACAGATACTTAACCCAGTCTAAAGATCCTTTTTCACATCTACAATAGCAGCAGTACCACATTTACCCAGAAAAATTAGCAGAACAACTTTTCCATTGTATAGGCCAGTGTAAGATGTCTTTTCACCAGACTTCCAGTCCTAATGCAGAGACAGTAGGACAGTAGTAGAAAAAGTAGAAAACCCCATAAACCCTGACTGGAAAAGCCTAGTGATGCAATCCAGTTTTCATGCTGCAAAAACAGACAAGTTTACATCCTTCTGAATTAAGCAGAAGTACAGAAGCATTAGGCTTGTCTATTTTAGGGAGAAGCCTGACTGATCTGCTTCTTCACTTCACTACCAATACTCAGATGATCCCTCACTTTACATGAGGCATAGCCATGTGATTGGAGAACAGTTTAAACAAAGTGTGGATGCATGACAGACCCCTTTATGTCAAGGTAGTTCTCTTTAGCTACAATAGATCAGACCACAGAATCTGGGTAACTACTTAGGGGCACAAGACTGCTTCAGCAGCCACAGTGCATCCTCTTGATCCTTTGTGTCTAGTAAGAACGCACCAAAGGAGCAGATTTAGGTCAGTCATTCTGCAGTAAACATAGCTGAAAGAACAAGAATAATTCAAGAGCTGGAAAAACACTGGTCTGTGGGAATCAAAATATTCTTTGCTTAACAGCAGAAGATGATAAACTCAAGCCTGACAACTGCTACATTCTTCTAAACTGTTCTCACCCAAAAGGAGAGAAAAACCCAGCAACCAAGCAGCACGCAGTCTAGCAGGGAGCGTGCAAAACCAAGGCAAAGGAAGGTCCAGCTAAACAAATGACGACAGTATTCTGAAGACATGCCTGTTACTTTTAGCAGGACACATGATTAGTACTATTACCTAACACCAGAATAAGTACAAAGAAACTGTTAAGTCATGCCAATTTGAGTTAAACTCGTTGTTTAAAGCAAGAATATGATTAAAACTGTTACGATAGTCCTGTGACTACTACTAACGGGAGAATTCAAATACAGCTCTGAGTGAAGTTGAGACAGTAGAACAAGACAGCAGTCAGCTCAGCCTCTATCTCAAAATTAACAACTTCTCTGAAGATTCACAGAATTCTCAGAACAGGCTTTTTATTACACCTGCTAAAACTAATTTGTAAGTGAAGTTAGCTTAGCTGCTTACTACAACTAAAATTCAAATAAGTACTAATATTTCCTGTGATGGAAGATGAATTTTCAAAAGTCTCCAAAGAACATTTTTAAAAAAAGGTGACATGAACTTCTGAATTTTGCCATCTATGCTTCCTTTAAGATAAAGCACACAGACTTGTACTGACAAAACACTCCACTTCTGAGTATCACGCTGCATCTGACCATCACAGAAAGGTTTGGGTTGGAAGGGACTATAAAGTTCATCTAGTTCCAATCCCCCAGCTTCCAAGTTCTTCTCCTCAGGGCTGCTATCAATCCGTTCTCTGTCCAGCATGTATTTGTGCTTGGGATTGCCCTACCCACATCCAGGACGTTGCACGTGGCCTTGTTTAACTTTGTGAAGTTCACATCATGAGGTACATGCACCATGAGATATAACCATAGCTTGCCTGATGACATGTGAACTATGTAACAAAGCAGCAGTGTCTAATGAACCACCATGACCCAACACTGAGGAAAATTACATTTCTCAAAATTTGCCCTTTAGCTCTGCTCTAAAAACAAAACATCTAAAAGCACACTTAGCCTTGGGCTCACTGCTAAATTTTAGTACAAGCTATCAGTTGTTTGAGGACAGAGTAATATATAGCTCTGGCAATGGTTAGGAACAGAGATAATGGTTGCTCACAACCCTTATAGTAATGAAAGTCTTTGCAATGTTGAAAATGGTGACAGATCTATTGTAAGCACAAGCGTGACTTTTTTTAATTGAGGAGAAAAAGTTGTCCACCTCAGCCCAAAAAATGTCCTGTGCTTCCTTTGCTTCCCACGTGAAGATGTAACATTAGAGGAGCCACAATAATTCCTCAGTTCCCAGAAGCCTTCTGCAGCCAAAAGATGCCCAAAACAGGTATGACTGGCTAGCATGATCTTTTCCAAGTAGAAAAAAAATTAAATGAAAGAATCCATATGCACACACGCACATATATTTTTATGTATGCTTCAGTCATACCAAGCTCCTCTTTGTATTTCTCATGCAACTCTTGCAATGCAATGCTGGAAAGCAAGTGAACCAGGCTGACTTTGTCAGGCCAGGGATGGGGAGAGTGACACCAAACACATGCCTGAAATTTAGTGAGACAAGAGATCCTGTCACTGTTATTGAACAACACATTATGAGATTTTTCCAAGGATGCCTCTTGGCATTGCAAACGCATTTGGAAAGCTAGAAAAAGAGGCCAATAACCTGAATGGTTTAGTGTCAGCATCACTCTGCAGCCGTAGATGTGCTACCTAATGTGGGTAACTTCCCTCCCCTCAGCATCACAGACAGAGAGAAAAAGTACTATTAAAAACCCCAAAACACAATCAAAACCAAATTGATTTTACCAGGCACATACACACCTGGAGCACAACACAGACACAACTGAAAATTATTATTGAAGGGTACTGAAGACATTAGAAAGAAAACAAAATCTTATGCTGGTTTTTTTTTTTGTGAGCCCCATGTACTCCGAAGAGTATTTAACAGCCAAAACTCCATAAACCTTACCTATTTCTGCCCAAATCTTTATGCCACCTCCCTTTCCTCTGCCTTCCCCATGACCTGCTCCACCCACTGCCCCTTCCCCATAGCCATGGCTGCATTTTTCTCCAGATTTCCTCTCACCTGGACTGTGAGGGCGCCACCTCTCACCATCCCTCCGTGACCCAGCCAGTCGCCAGCCTCCATCATCATCTTCCCCATTTTGTTCCTCCCTGAAGATGCGCCAGTTTTCGCTCTCAGAGCGTATAAACTCATGCTTTCTCCCTGCTGTTGCTGTCCCACCTTCCTCAAAGTTTGGTCTCACTGCAAAGAAAACACATACCAGTGAACATCTGTCCCATCTTTAGGAACCTAGAAACAAAAGGGTTGAAATCTTGCTCCCTTAGAGGCAAAAATGTACCAGAAGCATTAATAGGAACCTAGGAGAGGAATGGAAGTTCATGGAAGGAAACACATGACAGGGACAGATTTAGGAATCTCTCCACGTACCCATGGACCTTGGGATGGAAAGACTGAGGAAAATACAGAAGAAAAGCAAAGCACACGAGAAATTACGATGGGGTAGGAAAGACAGAGAAAGAAAAGACAATAGTTTAAGAGACACAGGGAAGCATAAAAGGAAAGCCGAAGTATACAGAGAAGATAAACTGCTGTATCATGAAAAGTCACCTGCTGAAGGAAAATGGGAACACAGTAAACTAAACATTGCACACATTTTACATAAACCAAACATATTTGCTACTTTCGTAATAAGAAGAATGAGACCTATATATTTAACCCAATAAGATTCTCTCAGTGTTTTAGGAAAATCTGAAGATTTGAGGTAGGATTAAGAGTTAAAGGAGAAAAACATTAAGTAGCATTAACGTTATCCGTGAATCCATCTTCTGGAGAGCCAAGGTCAGCATATTAAGAGTGAGAAACAGCCATGCAGCTTCAAGGATGAGTCTACCAGAAGTTCAGGACATAGTCTTTTAGTTCCGAATTTATATCACATTTCAAATAAAACAAAATCCTCAAGTACTTAACAAAGAGCAACACTGCTACAAAAGGATGATGTGAATACTTTTAATAAAATAAATCCACATATACACCAGTAAGTCAGGCTAAACATACACGCTGCTTTCACTGTTGACATCCTGACAAGGATACACCACCACTGAAATAATTATTTGGGGAATACTGGATTCGGGTTGTCGGTTTTTGTCGTCTTAGATCTCTGAAAAACCTCACAGAGAAAAGTGTAACAGGAGGCGCAAGGAAGACTCATTATTGCTCCTTGGACGGGCTTCACATCATACCAAACTAGGAGAGAGAGCTATGGACCCAAGTCAGCAGAAAGTAAAGTAACCCAGAAGAGAGCTTCAATCCAACAGACAGGATGAGCCTAGGACCCAGATGATAAGGAACAAAACAGTCACCGACCAAAAAATGTTAATTTACTATTTTGAGACCAGAAACACTATTATTTTTAGAGATGTATCTATTCTTTTCATCAAAATTCACAGCAATTACCTGACACTCATGCAGTAACATCAATTCTAGAGATTTTAGACTCCAGCAGTTAAGGAAAAAGTTATTTCTTTCCATTGTTGTTAAGATTCTGGAGACTACTCTTTTACACTGAGAAGCTATCAGCTTAAAGGTTCTGCTCTACTCTTCCAAAAAAGTATTGTGAAGTCTACTTGGCCACTGAATAGAATCATAGAATGGTCTGGGTTGGAAAGGACCTTAAGATCATATAGCTGTGCCCCTCTGCAGCTACATACAGGTTATAGGCATACCCAAGGCAACTCAAGTTTTCTTAAGACCTTAAAACAGCTGGGTTTGCTCCCAAAACCTGAACTACCAAAGTCTGACTTTGTATTCTGAACTTGCAGCAAACGGCATCCCCATTTGCTCTGGTGGAGTTTGAAACACACATCTGTACAGAGATCAAAACATCAAATGCTGTTTGCCAAGATGAGACTCAGATGGGTTACTGCCCCCTCCTCCCCCCCGATTTTAAATTCTACAGCATCAGAAATCTAAGAAACAAGAAAAGAATCAATTATCAGTATCATATTCTTATGAGAATGGTATCAGCTGTGATTCTAAAATCTTTCTAAACACAGCAGCATTCCATTCTGTCACATCAGATGACTGTTCTGATGCCACACTTCAGTGGAATTAAGAGAGAAAATGCAGTAAATCACGACAAACGTAGGTTTTCCTCGTACTAGGACATCATCGCAGGCAATATTCAAAAGACAGCAAAGTATGTGTCAAAACAGATCTGGCATTTGGTGACCTTGAACATTAGACAGGCCAGCCAAGAAACTAGTTCTTTACAAATACAAACTGGTCACAGGTTAAGAATCAGAAAAATCAAGCTAATAAAGTGACAAAAAGACTATGACAAAGCTGTATACAGGACTACTCCTACAGCTTGCAACTAAATTCAGAACTCACTAAGTCCCTGTATATTGTCTTTGCAAACTATTCCTAGACTTGAGAATGCTCATTTCAGCTGAAATGACTTAGGTCAGAGAGTCAGTATTTGGCAATGTTTTAAGGATGAAAAAAAACCCTAAAATGCAGTCTATGGTTTTTGCCTTGGACTAATTGACTGGACTTCTGAAGAGAAGGAGCAGTAAAAGGGCACCTCTGTTAAAGTCTGTCACAAAGCCAACAATGGTGTTTACAGAAAACTTCAGATAGAGCCTAGTGGTATCCAGCCAAAAAAGCCTACAGCTGTGCAACACTGAGCTGAAGGGAGACTGAGAAGAACAAGACTGGGATTCTGGGATGTAGCTTGTGGCAACACATTTAGGAAGAGGACTTACTAACAAGAATTCCAAATAACTACTGTTCTCCATGCTGTCAGGCCATGCTTCCTACAACATGCTCACAGTTTGTAAAGGAGAAACAGCAAAGTGATGACTGACAATAATACTGTTTCTTCTTCAGAGGGGAAAAACTAGGAGGCTATTAAGTGCTTTGACTTTTGCTCTCTTCTTTCTGCTGCACACTTCCTGAAGAAGAAGATGAAACAAAAAAACATTGCAGTTTTTTACTTTAAAAACATTGAAGTGTTTTTAAAGGAATTCAAGTAACTTTGCCTAGATGTGTAACTCATTTTACAAAAGATTAAAACAATGGCGTTAAGATGATGTAGTAGAAGGACTACTTTCTCATTAGGACAGTATTTGACATGCTAAGGACACAATGTTACATACATCAAGAAGTGACTCACTTGCAACCAAAGTCAGTGACAGAGATCAGAAGCTCCAATGCCCATTTCTACCTTTGCATTGCCTGCCTCTCTCCATCAAATCTCAGTCTCAACAGTTGGTCTCAAAGACATACAACTCAAACACCACTCCCTACTTTTTTTGCTAAATTGACCATTATCCACTGTCATGGGTATAGATGAACTAGTAAATTCAAAGGAATTAATGAGAGTTCAATTCCATTAACACACACCTGGAAAGCAACATACTGTTGCTATTTCATCTGCTGTACAAATGTGTTAGGTTTTTGATCCATTCAGTTGAATCAGATTAGAAAACCTGTGACCAGACAGCATGTGCTTTCTACAGTACAAAATACGGTTTGTAAGAAAATATGGCTTCTTAAAATAAATTAAAAAGCTCTGCCTATAGTGGAAGTTCAGCTTTGCTGGAGTATAGAGGGAAGGGTGAAGGGCAAGTCACATTGTCCTACATGCTGATCACAGAAGAGGGAGTCCCCTTGCACTACATTATTTGCTCTGATTCTGAAGGTCACGTCATGCCTACTACAATTTTCGGTGCTGTGCCTGAACATGTATTAAAATGTTCCATACTAATGAAGCAAAGAATTAATGTTTTGCAATTTAGGGCTGGGGGAAGGTTAAAGAGAGAAGGTGGGGGGGGTGTAAAAAGAGGGAGGATTTTGTTTCCTAAGCAGGAAAGTCTACATTAATAATTTTCCCAGCAGGCTTTCAGTAGTTTTACTGCAAACAACCACAGCCTTTGTTTCTCAGATCCTCTTACATGTGATGTTCAATTAAAGCCCTCACATCAGCAGCTCACCAAAGGAAAAAAGAAAAAGTGTGAAATACTACTGCATTACAAAGCTGTCCTCAGCGTTCAGTTTACTAGTGCAGCACACAGAGCACTCTGCACAGTCATTCAGCTAAAACATCTTCCCTAAATAACTTCTCATTTGGTAAGAGAGAAAATAGCTGAAGTGAAAGTCGTTTCCCTGACTGCATGGCAACAGCAACCCACCCATTCTGCATTGTTTCACTTTTGGGCATTAGCAAAACCCTGTGATTAATTCTATGTTTCACAAAGGAGCAATGTGGAGATGGAAGAAAAGCGGCCAGATCTACACCTTCTGACCAGCATTAAGCTACGCTTCAGCAACACCCTTCACAGACCACAGGCTTGTACCATCAGCTGCAGCCCACCCTTCTGTTCACACCAACACTCCGGACCTCGGGACCTCATCAGAAGAGGAAGACTAGACACAAGCAGCAGCGAGACAGGATTCTCTCTTTTCACCTAAACAAACAGTAGTTGACACCGGTTAGAGAGAAAATATCAGAGAACAGTGTGTGTTTTTCAGCAGCAATATAGGAACTTCTTCCATTCAGTTTTTCCAGGAGAATTCTGTCCTTTTCAACTTTTCACATAAAACTTTTAAGCTTATACAAACATAAAAAATTATCTTGACTAAGGCAGCAAGGGGAAATGCACCCCTTCCCCAAGTAAGTGTTTGAGGATTTCTCCTTGGCTGCTAAGGGTTTGTGTTGGGTAAAGAAATGCTCCTAACAAACCAGCATTCTTTTCCACATGATCAGAGCTAACCGGCCCCCCTGCAGGCAAAATGACCAATCAAATCAGCTTCACATGAAAATCAACACCACCCCCCCCCAGCACTATAAACACGGGAATGAGACATACAAACCCATTTTAAAAGAGGTTTTTGGGTTTGTTTTAAAAAAGATCACTACTTGTGGGAAGTTTCTTGCCAGTGCTAGGACCAATACACACGACCAGCCCAGTCCCTCTCCTGAAGCCCAGGTTCTTCCCCTTCTTCTGCACAGAAACCCTTCAAAAACTGGTAAGTACACAAAACAACATCTTTTTTTCTTTTTTTCTCCTTATTATACAATTAGAAATTGTTCTGCCATTCTTTAATCAAAGTTGTTTCCAGGGCATAAAGTTTTATTTCTAAAGTTTGCTTCATTAAGCATCACCTTAAAATGGTTTCCGATTCCCCCCACCTCAAAAAGAAGGAATGTGGTCATCTGAAAAAGCATTTTCTAACAGCAT